AAAATTATTTAAAAGTATTGAGTGACAAGCTGGTGGAAAATAAAAATGAAATTAAGGCAGAGGAAAGGAAAGAGAAAAAAATGAAGAAGACAAAATCAGAAAAAAAAACTTCTAAATATTCAGAGAAAAGAACAGAAAGGAAAGGAAGAGAAAGGTTAAAACAAAAAGAACAGATCTGAAGCGTTTCGCACAAAAGCAAAAGAGAAAAGGAAAAAAAAAATGCCTATAAAAAATGCAAGTAGTGAAGTTCTTTCGCTGACAAGTTTACCGATGGAGCACTGCCGCACACATCCCCTCTGGTGGCTATAACTTGGCCATCAAATTATTTTGCCGCAATATAAAGACGGCTCAATGGGATTTCTGTAAGCGACGAGAAGGATAACGATGAACGGCAGCAGATTTATTCCGAGATGCCGAATGCTCGGGGACGAGTTCGATAATATATATATATATATATATTATTACTGAGCTAAGCAGAAACTCTCCTGGGGGAATTCTTTTCCCGAAGAGCTCGTGGGTCATATAGGCTCAAAAGAAAAAAATTCCCGTGCGTCAACGTTTTTTTTTGTAGAAAACTCGGAGAATTAACGGCTGTACCCTTAATCACACTGCTCGTAAATCATACAAAAAAAAAAAAGGAAAGTCACATTGTTCGCTCTACAGACTTGATGAATGAATTATACGGGGACACGCCTTAAAGGGCCCCTGTAAAGAAAAAAAAAAAGTTTTTTTTTTTTTAACAGTCTGGTTGGGACACGCGTGTCAAAAAAATTAATTTACGCGAAAAAAAAAAAAAAAGATTTTTTTTAGAGCAATATTGACGGCGCGAGACGCGGTTTAGTCGATAGTCACTTGTTTTCTATCTCGGCATTTGAGGCGCGAGGAGAAGAGGTGGATCGACTCGGCCATGAGGTTGAGGTGGAGAGAGTGTATGACCATTCCATGATGTCATGGACTTGGCGTGCAGAATTTCAAATAAATCTCGCGACGTCAGTATTGCTCTAAAGTTGTATGTATATATATATATATATATACATACATATGTATGTATATATATGTATATATAGTGCTCTAAATTTGTATGTATATATATCAGTGTGTCGAACCGAAAAAAATACGGGTTCGGTTACGGTTCAGGTTCAGGTTAATTTATTTTGTTCCGGTTCAGTTCCGGTTCGATTAATTCGATCCGCGAACCGGCTCGGGGCGCTGAACCGGTTCGCGAACCGGTTCGGAAATTATAAATGACAAATTGCAACATCAAAATAAATTACAAATAAAACATCTGAAATCAGCACATACGAAACGGGATACATCGTAGTGTAAGGCTCAGGGATTTCTACCAGGAATGGTTTCTTTATGTGAACTCAAAGGTTACCTCACCGACGTTTACGCGTTCGGACTTCATCTAATTGGGTCCGACGCAGTAGCTGTAAAATCCGCGACCTCCTTACAAACCCAGTTACAAGTAGAACCCGCTAACTATCCCGCCACCTCGGTGTGTAAGCAATTGAAGAAACAGTGGGGAGAAAATACAGCTTTCTTTATTTGAACTAGCCTTCGGTAACTCAAATTAGACCCTTAAAGAAGTTTTCATTAAACAAGATACGGAATATGAAAAACACTTCAGCGAACGCAACGCCAGAAGGACGTAATAGGATAAATATTAAAATAGAAGAGTTCGCTGTCTCACAAATATGTTAGCTTTTAAGTGCCTATACGAAACCGGATGCATTATTATCAAACTCCACAGCCTTTTCTTTTCTCATTCCGATGGAAGCAAGCTTCAAGAACTCGCGCGTTCTAGAAACGTGTTTTGAAATGAGCACACAGCATCATTTAGGATTTACGAGATTGTAAAAAAATAAAATCCCGTGACGCCATTTTTTTTTTTTTTTTTTGCACAGCCTTTCAATTTTCTTTTATCCCTTGCAAGCCGCGACCAGCGCAATACTGGTTCCTATGTCAAGATTCATGGATGCCGCGTCTGTCAAGATTCATGGATGCAGCGTTTATATTCCTAAGACTGAGTGGAGAAGAAAAATATGTAAGCGAGGTGTGTGTCAGTTGACGGCACTTAAAAAACAAATGGCATTGATAGCACATTCATTGTCAACAGCGCGTGGCCGAACCGTTTTGACATGAGCCGGTAACCGTTATTTTTTTTCCGGTTCAGTTCCGGTTCGGGTTCATCGCGATAACAATATAACGGTTCGGGTTCGGGTTCAGTTCCGGAAAAAATACCGGTTCGGTTCCGGTTCGACACCCTGGTATATATATATAAATATATATATATATTGCCGCCCGCAGAGCCGAGAAAGCAACGCTTGGTCACGGTCTTCTAGAAGATTCCCATTCATTCTCGCACCAGACGTAACTTTCCTTCTGCTTTGTTATTCTCGAAAGTGCCAGTTCATCCTCACCCCGAGCGCGCGACGCTCGAGCCCTCTTTGCCGAACTTTCGAGAAGCAGCTACCCGCGACCTTGTCGAGTCAGTCTCGCTCGCGCTCTCTGTTTCGCCGCCGAATAGCTGCCTGCTTTTCTGCTGCCTCGACGCTCTTTCGTTACTAATTTTGGTTGGCACAAGTTCGTCCATTAAACCTTTATTTTGAGTTCACTGTTCGCCTTCTCGTCGCCTTCATTCGTGACAATATATGGGTGATTTCATCTGAACTCAGGCACGAATTTAGGGTAAAATTTTTAATTTTGACGAACAAAATATATGTTTTGGGGCAATTCACATAATAAAAGAAGACCCAAACGCCATTTTCGTCAGAGTTTTTGTTCTAAAATTATGGACCGTTGAAGCGGTCAAAGTGGAAACTGGCGTTTTTCCAGCTTATCGGAGGTGCCATATTCACTCCAACCCCTTTCCCTACTTTTTACGCTACATCAATATAGCTTTTTGGGAACACTCAGGCATAGGCTTTTTCATGCTAATTAAGCGTCTACGTCATAACATTCTTAATGATTTTTTTTATTTGTCAAACCGCCTCTCTGCAACGATATTTGACGAAGTTCAGCAAGCTGTGCTGTGTGACCTAATCAAATTATATTTATGATATTTATATCATTGTAAAGCACCAATTAAGTTCTTTCTTTTGAGTATAATTTCAATATTTTGCAATAAGTATATAATGCACTACATATGCCTGAACAACGAAAATTTCGAAAAACTGGCAAGTTTGGAATTGAACTAGAAAAAATCGTTTTATTTCTTTTATTTTTTATTCACAGTTAGTTAATAAGTCGTCCATCAGAAACTACCAACAAAAATTGTAATATATTGTTTGTATGGCCGCTATTAAGACTAGAATCTCGTGCTATCAGCGTTTTGAACGGGACTTCGCACAGGCGCTCCGCTGAGCAGAATTTTGGCCTATGTAAGGTTTCTATTTATCGTTAGCAGTTACCTCAATATCCAACCATAAACATTAATAAAATTTGGAGTAGTGTACTTAAAAAAAATTTTACTTCGAAGTCCGTATATCCACAAGTGCGGGCGCAGCGCTTACTTCCTCCCAATATGGGGGAATGCATATCGTTAGAGAATTCCTCTAAGGCCTTTTGCTTTCGGCTTTGAGTTTGAAATGCCGAACTTGTCATGTAATTGTCATATTTTCTTATGTCAAACAGATATGCAGTGCTTATACATATGTACAATATAGTATTGATCGACGCTTAGGAAGTACGGTTTATTTTGTGCGCGTACTTACTCTTTCGTAAAATAACAGGCATTTCGTAGCGTGTAAGGCTTCCAACGTGTTAGTTAGGTGTTTAGGTTTCATTTCTATTTTCAGTGATTCGTGCCGGGTTACTTAGACTTTTTCCTCTTGACTTGAGTTTGTCTGGGAGTGTAAATGTTACGTATCTTCTCCGTCAATACATAGGCCGAAGCTCACTCACCTTGCAAATCACGCCAGTGCCAAGTAAATAATTTTTTTTTTTTGATAAATATTGTTGCTTCACTGGTTTTTACGCTCAGATATTGAGGTAAGTACTAACATTTAAATAGAAAACCCTAGATAGGTCAAACTTCTGCTCAGTTGAGCGTCTATGCGAAGTCCCGTTCGAAACTCTTTCCTCACAGCACGAGATTCGAGTCCTAATAGCGGCCATACAAACAATATATTACAATTTCTGTTGGTAGGCCCTGGCAGACTACTATATTACCTAACTTTAAATAAAAAATGAAAGAAATAAAAGGTGTTTGTTTTTAGAAAATCGACTTCAAACTTGCAAGTTTTTCTAATGAAAGACTTGCAAGTTTCAAGTCGATTTTCTAAAAAAAAACCACCTTTTATTTATTTCATTTTATATTTACAGTTAGGTAATATAGCAATCTGTCAGGACCTACCAACAGAAATTGTAATATATTGTTTGTATGGCCGCTATTAGGACTCGAATTTCGTGCTGTGAAAGTTTTGAACGGGACTTCGCATAGACGTCGACGCTCAGCTGAGCAGAATTTTGACCTTTTTTTTTTTAATTTTGAAGGGAACGTACGCCGGTGCGCGTTGCACGCGGACCGGCGTGCGTTCCTTTGCTTCCGCCTCCTTCTCCTTCTTCTCTGTTTTCCACGCGCGGCGGCGCCGCGGCGCCGCTATTCGCCAAATTCAGTCACGTGACGAGCAAAGCATCCAGGGCCGCGCAGGAAAGCCGGCGGTACGGCCACCCGCCGAGGCTGAATGCGCAACTCTGCTACCGTAGGTAGCTATATACAATAACTCTGTCTAGTGCTTCCTCGCAGCGACGTCTAGCTTGCGTCAGCATTGCCGCCAGCCCGTCTCGCAGCGTCTTACAACGAGCGCGACGCTAGGTGCACGTGGCGACGCCATAGAGTAGTATGCGATTCTGAGACGGACTTTGCGGCGTCTCTTGCCGAGCTCCAGCTTGTTCGCCGTTTGCGGCGTGTCTGCGGAATATCAGGAGACGCCGCGCATGAGTGCACGGCCGAGTGATTTTTAGCCCGGGCGATAATCGCCGGTGAATGCACTCACGTGTCCTGCTCTTCGAGGCACTCCAGCCTGCGGTGAAGTCCTTCGTAACGGTCCAGCCGACGCGCTTCTCGGGCCAGGTACCGGTGCAAGGCGTCTCCGGCTCGCCGCTCGGACACCAGCAGGCGCCGCAGATCCACCAGCGCCGTGAAGAGCTCGCACTGAGTGGGAAAGATAACGTGACTCAGCAACATCAGGATCAGCAAGGGGTTCGGGTTTCGACACCCTTTCGTTTTGCCTGCATGAGGTGAGACGAACGCCATTTTACTATTCCTTCTCGTCGTCGTCGTCTTCCTCTTAGGTGCTAGAGGCATCTACAGGTTTCACGATTCCTGGGTTCCGCGGAGGTGTTGATATGGGCAGGTGTATATAGCGATAGCTCGCGCTGTAGAACCCAGGGATCCTGGGTTGAATTCACTGTTCTCAAAACCCTGCCAGCCAACGTTTTTTTTTTTTTCGCTTTGGCTTGAAAATTTTGGAGGGAAATACATTCAAAAACATCTTGCTGCAGGCTGTTCCTGGGTTCCTGTGTTCAGTCCTCGCCCCTCTACCCTGCCCTGCCCGTTTCGATTTGATTGAGCATCGTACACTGTCGTGAAATCGGGTATCCCTACTGGGTGATGAATACAGCAGGTTTAAAGGGATGTTGATCCGAAATTTTGAGCTCACAAAACAAGGCTGTATGGATAGGCGGAATACTGCAGAACACAAAGACATCACTCATACAGCGATATCCTTAACGGATCGCCGCATCTTTGGAAAAAAAGTACGCGATTGAACACGGCCGACGAGGCCGACGGGACAAGTTACGTCGGGATTCTCCTTCCCTCTCCTCCTCGCTTCGTCCCGTCGGAGCTGGTGAACCGAAGCAAGGAGGAGAGAAGCGAGGCCGCTTCCCCTCATGTTCAACTGTTCCAGGAGGACAATGACGTCACAGCCCTCGCTTGATCGTGCCCTCCTTTTCTAAAAGATACAGTCATCCGTCTGAGATATGGATGTATGAGATGATGTTTTGAAGTTCTTAGCGTTACGTTCAACGCTTCTGCGATCTTATTTTGCGAAATTCAAATTTCGGTTCAATATCTCTTTAAGGTAGAGTGCCTCAGTGTTTCTGGGCCCTCCCAGAGCGCACGGACAACTGTCTTTCGATAGCGGAGCAACCATCTTGCCTTCCACTTTGTATAGTATATGCAGTCATGTATAGGCCGCATACGGCAGTTATTGAGCATTATCATTTGTGAAATCACGCGGAGTAACTTTAAGAACACGCAACCAGACTTGTACACGTTACTGAAAAATTGTAAAGAATTACATTTACAATTACTCAAGGCTAAATTGTAATTTTTTACAATTACAATTACTCTCTCATAAAAGTAAGTAACCGTTACTCCCAAAAGTAATCCGTTACTTTCGTGGCGTTACTTTCAACAATAATTTCCTCAACTAAGAAACAAAAGGAAGAAGTTTATTTAAGTTCTTACTGTTGCCACCTGTCCCATTTATTGACCTTCAGTATTTTGAGCAACAGCTGGCTCTCGAAAGTCTCGTCAGACATATATTGCGTCATTTCTTACTGAAGACGTCGAATACTACGCAGAGCACCATTTGAACTTAGGCACTGGATGGGATTGCCGTATTGTGCCTGACGAATATTTAATTCTCTGCATTGAGCTTTTTCAGCGAAGCAATGGAAGTACTATTTAGCTCGAAGATAGGACAAAGCTTCATCGTTGCAGCCGTTGCCTGATATTCGAGTCTTAGTAGAGTTCGTAACAGTAAGGCGATAATTAAATAATAAATAAGGTTTGGCTCGATATTCTTCTTTCTTTGGTTCTGAACAGGTCGAGCCTCGGTTGAGGCGCATTGGTGAATAAGAAAACGTTTTTAAGATATAAATATAAGTAATAGAAAAAAAAAAAAATCAGAACGTCGGTTAAAACAAAGAAATGTAAACGCACGTTTGTCGTGTGTACCTTTCTTGATGCCGTTCAAAAACGCACGGAGCACAAACCGATTGCAGTTTACACCGGTGTTCTCCAGATAAACTTCCGCGGATGCCACGGGCAGCGAAGGGCACAGAACTGAGCCACATCCACACTCATCAATTTCACTCTGTCCTCAAGCCCAGAATCTCAAGTCTACGTCAGCCACCATTATGTTTTATTTTTAAAGATCTCTGCTTGAGATAAGATGCGTCGTACTGGGATACAAACAGCGGAAAAAAAAAAAAGAAGACATATATTATTTCGGAGTGATCGCAAAAAGCTGACTTACAAAAAGGTGACTGAGAAGCGGATAACCTGGCTGAAATTCAGAAATAAAGTTGGCCAACCCTAGAAATTGGACCACAAAAGAGTAAGTAGCTTTCAAAACAGGTTCATATAATGTGAAAGAAGCTGAAAAAAATACATCCTGTTTTCTAAGAGAAGATGATAAGTGTGCAGCAACGAACGAGGATGCTTGTGGCAATAACGCCTTCACACATTATCACATCCGTTTTAGTGGATTTTAGGGTAGACGAAGCGTTGTATCGTGTTGTGACATTATAAAAATGGTCGTAGTCACTGTAACCGAGAAGGACATTGTTAATTCTTGTCTGTGCACTTACCGCCTCGAGCTTCTCGAAGAGGCATACAATCCCTTGGTGTCCTCCTCTCCCCGCCTTCGATCGCAAAGAAAAAAACAAAAACAAAAAAAAGACTAAAAAAAGCGGATATAACTTGCCCCCCCCCCCCCTTTTTTTTTGTAGAAATGTTTATTTGGATTTTTTTACATTGTTGTTAGGGTGTAAAAAGAAAATAGATTAGGGGATTGGTGTTGCAAAAAAAGGATTTACAGAACTGAAGAGTGCCAAGCCTCCCTTTGCGCTGGCCAATGCGCGTGACAGTATGGTGGCTAGCCACCATAATGACAGTGTCACTGCGCTCAACTTTACCAAAATAAAAACGACCTTTTCTTTAGAAGGGGGAAGGGGGGGGGACTGGTCCTGAAAAAAATGTAACGGATTACAAGGAATCCGTTACGTAAAAAATGTAAGGGAATTACTTTAAAATTACTCTAGAAAAGATGTAATTAATCCGTTACTAAATTACCGATAAATGTAAGGGATTACAAGTAATTTCGTTACTTGTAACGGATTACGTACAAGTCTGCACGCAACGTCCCGCCTTCTATTAAGTATGTGTTTGTCTTCGGCGTTGCCGCCGGCTAAGAGGCAGGAGGCAAAAGTGGTGGCCGCGGCCAGGAAAAGGGCGGCGCACTTACTTTCCCATAAAACGTCACCACTTTAGCGAAATGCAGCCAGCAAGTAACATTAAGGCACTCTAGTTAAAGGCCCTAGGCTACTTGAAGTCTCACAGTCCTGGCAAGATTTCTCATCGATAGCGTGTGTAAACCAAGGCTGCCAAAAACTGACAGACTAACCTCACGCTGTCTATATATGGCATGCCATTAGACCTCATTGATTTATTGAAATCGTTTCTTTGTTAATAAGAAAGGTTCGCTGCCTACGCTCTGGTAAATCTGAGGCAGGAAGGATGGGGGTTGTGAGGGTTGTAGGGAGAGGGCATTGTGACGATGACTATGTTAAATGAATTGATTGACCCCGGATGTCCCGATAAAACGTATCAGTGAATCCAGGATTTCTTTTCTGTGTTGTTCCCGTTTTTTCGGGTGGGTCCAGGCTTCTAAATTCCTTGGTTTCACCTCGTTCGTTAGCGAGGCCCACGCGTCTTGTCTCAATTACTCAACTCTTGCAGACCCATAGCATCTGTGTTGTTGTCAACAACCTTCCTGCGATGCATTTCTTGCACACAGGGTCGAGGTCGTCATTTCCCTCTTCCCTTTTTGTAAATGATGCCTTCCTTGCCGGTGTAAAGGCCGTACCAGTCCTGATTTTTCGTAATCGTGCACTCTAAAAAAAAAAAAGCCCGTGCGCCTGCTTTCCCGCACAACACTCGGAGAGCCAATCGCCGCAACTAACAGAGGCAGCTCAGCGAATGACAATGTCGAAACATGTGTTTAGACCAAAAAAACGCAGTCTGAGTTGTGACATTAAGCAGTGCAAGCGTGACGTTTTGCATTGCTTAATGTCACAACTCAGACTGCGTTTTTTTTTTTTTTTTTTTTGTCTAAACATATGTTTCGGCATCGTCATTCGCTAAGCTGCCTCAGTAAGGTGCGGTGATTGGCTCTCCAAGTGTTGTGCGTGAAAGTAGACGCACAGACTTTTTTTTAGAGTGTACATTCTCCCACCTCTTGTACCCTTGCGGGATTGGGTCTTCTACTGTCAGTAGGAGGCCTTTCAGGTAGAGTTTTCGTTCTTCTTTTGCCTATTCGGCTCTTTCCTCTGGGTCAATGGGAGTTTCCTCGGTTGTTTCTTCCCGAAAGGTTAGGCCAGTTGCAGAGCTGGTGCTTCTCTGCCCGGCCTGGTGTGTCCTCTCGTTGCCCGGGATGCCAGCGTGCCCGGGTAGCCATCCAATTATCAGTGTAGAGACTTGTTTTTTAGCTCCTTTGCTATTATTTTGATGTTTTTATCTGTCCTGTTTCTTGTTCGGCTGTTTCTGCACGTTTTCAGCGCCGGCTGTGAATGTGAATGTTCGGGCCGTATAGCCCGGTCGGAGAGTTCCTTTAATGTCTTAAAGGAACTCTCGAACAGAGCTCCTAAACTCAAATGAGTTTGAGACCGTTGGACTTGGAGTCTTCTCTACTTATTCACTGAACTCCTCTGGCCACCTGCATTTTCCTTTTAAAAATGACTGAACATCGTCTATGTCGTCTTTAACTTGGGAAGCAAATAACGTTAAGCTTTAAAACTTTTTTTTTTGCTTTTTTTTTTTAATTTCTGGTGGTGCGAATTCAGGCGGAGTTCGATCGCTTTCAGCGATAAGCACAGTTTAGTTTTTCCAGTGAAACGCTGTTTGTGTTTTTAGCTCCAGTTTCTTCCTCCACGTGAACACTTGTTCGATTGGTGGGCGTTCTTTCAACTTTTTGACTAGAGTGCTCTTGAAGGCTCATAAAAAATGCAGAAAGAAAATATCGAACCGCCAGTTTTGAAAAAAAGAAAAAGTGTATTGTTTATTGGCTGCATGGTTATGTGCGGCTGAGTCGACACACTTGTTCGAAGAATACACCGACACGCTGTTTGAAGACAAGTCAGCGTTTTCCCACACCAGACGTGCGCATTGCGCGCGCGCAGAAACCAGATTCGGACGAAATGAAGCGTTTGCGCATGCATCATGCCGACAACAGTGCCACCGCGGAC